CTAACTGGGCTGTGTTGGAGATCTGTACCCTTATACTAAATATATTTGATTTGATTTGAATTTATTTGGTTCCAATAAACATACATACAGATAAAATACGGTGATAAAAGATGCAAAAACAAGAAAAATATTAAAACAGATAAAAAGCTTATACAAACAGGAGAAAAGTTCATTAAAGTCAACAACAAGAAACATGAAAAACAGCGGAACTAAGGATCCCACAAAAGATGTAAAACAATCTTATTTCCAGAGGAGTCCTTATTCCCTGTGTAAATAAGAAATAAAAATTAATAATTAGTATTTTCATCTAATTTCGTATTCAGTGTTGTCTGTATTTATTTTGTAGGCCTATCCCACAGTGACGTATTTAAAAGGGTCTTGTAATGGGGGTGTTGATGGGTGAAGTGGGGTCTCGATGATTAAGTAAGGTGGCACTAGCTCGCAAACAATAAGGTGATTTTTAATTCCTTGAGCGTGATTCTTTTTTTTTTTTTTTTTGCTTCCAACATTTTCAGTGGGGGCGACTGGGGGGGGGGCAAGCTTTTTTTTTTTTAGTGGGAACCTCTAGATACGCCACTGCTATCTCAACCGTGGCTAACCTATCAATTTTGAAAAGCAGATGAGGGCCCGCCAAAAACTATGTCGTTTTGCATGCTAAACTGTTGCGTTAACAAACAGTCGGGATATATAAGATATTTTTTTATGTTATGTCTGCTTTTTTCAGATGGATATCGATATGTCTTCTTGGGTGGACGAAGTACCCCTGGTACATGATCACACCTATCTTGATCCGGATGATATTGATGATCTTGCTCGCGTACATCTATACCGCGTCGTCTAAATCCTGTGCAAGTTGATATTGAATGTGACGAGATAACGATGGAAACTGAATGTACAGTAATATGGCTGCTCTCTGCTGAAGCCATGAAAAGGAATCCAGTGAATGACATCTTCTGTTAAGCTTAGTTCGCAGCAATTTAGACGTACGCAATCGTACAGCAAATAAATACGTTCTGCTTTTGGGTGCTTGCCACGTAACGTCCCCGCCTCATGCATTGAACTTTTTCGTAAAAGGAAGATGAGACAATACTCGAGCACTAGCTAAATTCTGTGTCAAACCACTTACGGTTGCTTCTGATGCCTGCTAGTGTGAACAAACTTCAACATAACTCATAGGCCTACATGTGTATCGAGGACGATTCGTAATTTCTTGTAGACCTACCGTGAAAGCTTTGAAAAGTACCAAATAATAAATATCTACGGCATGTTGAGTCCAAAAGACGTTTTGTTGTTGTTATGTAATTATAATAATAATAATAATAATAATAATAATAATAATAATAATAATAATAATAATAATAATAATAATAATAAATAATAATAAATAATATATTTATACAGGATTTCACAGTCAAGTATTAACCTGTTTTTCTCTGTGGTGGTCCTGTCACAGAAAAGTATAATACAATAGGATACAGGAAAATACATAAGACTTATACCTAGATTTAAATGATTTATTGAGAACGAGTGTTTAATATCAGCTGGTAGTTTGTTCCAGACTTTAGCGCTAGCTACCCTTGAAAGAAGAATTAATTTTACTTAATGTATATTTGGGCACAACGACATTAAAATGCTCTACACCGCATTATGTTATGCAACTAGATTGCGCATTAATTAGAATGACAAGTAATTCCTGATGATGATCTAATAACAAATCGAAATATTGAATCACAATGACGAGTCTTACATTATTTTGAGTATGGTTTATAATAAGCAGAGCTGTTAGAGGAAGTACTATTAAGGAGCGTTACTGTCTGATATAGGCAACAGAATACCTAGATATGTTGCATAAAGCAAAAACATTAGGGGTTGGAGCCAATGTTTGTGGTTTGCGCTAACCCTTAAGGTTTATCCTGTGTCTCAACGTTTTCATTGGATCTGAACGTTTTTCACCGGCCCCTGATGTTTGTCATAGGTTTCAAAGTTTTTTTCTCTCTTTTGTGGGTGCACCCACCTTTATTCATTTTCACTTTTTACATTTTCATATGATATACAGTACAAGAATAAAATTATTCAAAAATAAAAGGCCATGTACACTCTATCAGAAAAAAGCAAATCACATTTAGGTATTCTTCGTTGTTGAACTATTTTGCCCTTTATTTTGTTTTCATTCTAATAAACCTTGTTGAACTAAAATGTAATAAAGTTTTTAGTTCGGCCAAAAAAATTGGATATATTGGGGGTTTTTTTCTCTATTGTATCAGCTGATAACCATGCCTTGTAAATAGTAAATGCTGCTAGTGTATGAAAATAATTTAATACTCGGTTGTGTTGTTTATAATTTGTGACAGCAAGTACTATTTCATTTAGATTTACTTCGAAATTTAATTTAAAATGACTTTTAATGAGACATTGAAAATTTCCCAAAATTTGTCTGTTCGTATACAGTTTATAAACATACCGGTATGTGTTTCATCATCAAAATCATTTCATTTTAAAGTTCATTCCAATTACTTGGTGTTGTTTTTAATCTGTTGAGTTTTACATGTGATAAAGCCACCTGTTGATAGAAGTCAGGAATATTTTTAAATCTTACTTTTCCACTTGAGGCAAACGCGAAACAAGACATAGAAAGAATAGATAATGAAGGTGCAAACCTGTTAAAGTAATACATTGGTAGTTTGCACCAAACGGCATTACCCTTCGCATTCAAAATCTTTTTCGCGAAAGCTATACGTAATGCTTCACACTGCGTTTTAAAGTCTGGGGCTTTGATACCACCATGACTTCTGTCTCTCATTAATGTTTTTCTTTTTATCTTTTCACTTTTTTTTTATTCCAAATAAAATTATATATTAAATTGTCTGCTCAAACAAACACGTACTCCGGTACATTTATAGCTTGTTGTATAGTAATTGTGATAAGCCTAGTGACTTCACAATAGTTACTTTTCCATACATTGAGAGTTCGTGTTGTCCAGCTATTTAATTGGTTTTCTAATTTTTCTAATTTTTTTGTCCAGTTCATTTTTTCACGTTCTTGTTTATTATGTCCTACATATATTCCAAGTACTTGTATTATATTTTTGTACATGTCTCTATTTTCAATGAAACCATTAGTACTTTTTAGTTTGCCAAGTAACAGCCCTTCTGTTTTGCTCATATTGAGCTTTTATCCTGATATTTTACAAAAAGAATTTATATTTTCGAAGGACTTTTTAACGCTGACCCATTGTGTTGCAGAAAATAGTTGTGTCATCTGCGAACTGTGTTAATTTTAGCTCACAATGTTTGTCTTTAACCGCTGGTATTGTGACTCCCTTAATGTGTTTTTCATTGCGTATATTAATTGATACCATTTCTATTGCTAAAATAGAAAGTAGAGACGATAAGGGGCAGCCTTATCTCACCTCCCCCCTCCCGCCCTTTTTCAAATCAAAATATTTGGTTAAAAGCCATTATCAGTGATACAGCTGCTTGCTCCATTGTATAATGTTTTAATCCATGTAATGAAAGATGGGCCAAAATTAAACTTTTTCAAAACAGACATCATAAAGTTTCTGTTTATTTAATGAAAAGCCTTTTGAAAATACGGCACAAAATAGCGCCACCAATATTATGTTCGCTTGTATATTGGATTATCCACTATTATTTTTCGAATAGTTTCGGAAATACCTCTAGGCCTACCTTTTATATATCCAGTTTGGTGCTCACTGATTATTTCCGGTAAGATTGTTTTCATTCTATTAGCACTAACCATTGCTGCAATTTTATAATCAGAGTTTAAAAGCGGTATAGGTCTCCAAAATTTTCTTTATCTCCCTTTTTAAATAAAAGTGTTATAACACCTCGTTGTTGGGATAGAGTGAGGCGCTCTTTATTGTAGGCTTCCATATAGACCTATGTTAAAATATTTTTTAGGTCATACCAAAAAATACGATAGAATTCTGTAGGAATCCCTTCGGGATCTGGTGATTTTTCAGTATTCATTTTATCTATTGCTACTTTACATTCTTCTAATTTTATTGGGCCTTCACATTCTTGTTTTTATTCATTGTTTAATTTTGGAATTACGAATCTCTTCTGATATTTTTTCTTCATCGTAAAGATTGGTGTAGAAAGTAAATTTCTCTTCCCTGATTTTATGCGTATCAGTAAAAACCTCTCCTTTATTATTTCTCAGGGATGTCATTTGATGATTGGTTTTGTTCTGTTTTTCTAAGCTCAAATTTGAGTATTCTTCAATTTAGATTTTTATTTTCACGAGGTCCCATCCAATGGACCTCCGTTATACTCTATATTAGTTTTTGTGTTTTCAATGATACATTTTTTTTTTAAATAATTTTCTTCGGCAAATTGTGAGATTTAACTTCCACAATACTTGGCCTTTTTTTTGCATGATGCAATTTGAAATTTAAGAGATATTGCCACGTGGTCTGTCCCCACGGCTGGTCGAATATCTGTACTTACGATTTCTTTTTCTGTTAGAAGATTTTCTGTAACTAACCAGAAATCTAGGCGTCTATAGATCGCTTGTTGCGGTCTTCGCCATGTGAATTGTCTAAGATCTGAGTTTATGTATCGCCATGCTTCTTTTAATTTAAAAATGTCATTATATCTTTAACTCCTTTTGATAATTTATCAATACGTGTATGGCTACTTTTTTGGTATTCAGAATGGTCTAATATACAATTAAAGTCTCCACCTATAATTATATTGCTATTTTGTTGTACATTTTTTCCAATCCATTCTTTCGTTTTATTAAAAAAGTATTTTCTTTCATTAATAAAATTTGGAGCATATATTGAAACAAAAGTGTAGTGTTTCTCTCCAAACACAACATCGACGAGGACTCTCCGTCCATCACTACTCGATTCTGGGTCCACCATTCATATTCCAACCCACCTAAATAGGATGGCTGTTCCCCTACTGTTTGAACTACCACATGAATGAAATATATTCCCATTCCATATCTGTTTTACTGATTTGATCATATCCTCCGTAAAGTGGGTTTTTTGTATTAGCACTACGTCAGCACTTCGGTCTTTTAAACACTTATACAGTTTACATTGTGTTAAGTTGCTTCGTAGGCCTCTAGTATTTATAGATATACAGTGAATTGTTTTGTCTATACTTTTGTTCATGATGAATGTTAGTTAAAAGTATATTGGTTCAAAATTTAAAAGAAGTATAACAACCTATATCCTGTTTTAGGTAGAACGCCCGAATGACGTGACAAAATGCTCATGTGATTGGTGTCATTGAGTCCCAGTATTATGTGTTTAAATATTAGTAGTAGGTCTATGCATTATACTTTCTTATCTGAGATTAATCAGTGGACCTTTCGGTAAAATAATGCATTCTATAGATTCATGGCTGACAGTAGCTTACGGAACACGGCGCGGCCGAAAAAGAGCGAGCAAACGAAGCGTGAAGACCACGCCAAAGAACTGGGTTTCACCCTCGATTGCACGCCGCGAGATGACGTACCATGTGTTTTGCCAGCCCCCCCCCCCCTAGTGTAGTGCAAAAATTAATTAAAATTGAATAGTTTATTTGTCTTGGCTAGTGTTAAACTGACACATAGGTTATAGGTTTTGACCATTAACATACCGAGTGTTCATTTTTTTGGTGACGTCTTCTTCTTTTTCTTTTTTCTTATTCGTGATTTCTGTACAGTGTAGGGCTTTTTAAAATCACTTTCTTCCTATCCTGTTTCCTTATTTCCAGTGTTGGCGTTGTCATCCGAGTCTGTTTGCAGCTCATTTGTTGACTCGCTCGTAAGCAGCGTGACCACTCACAATTTTTGATATACCCAATGACTGGGTCGAAATTACCCAAGATTCAGCAAAAATTGACCAAAATTACCCAAGCTTCCTGAAAATGCATTAAAATTTTAAAAATAAGTGTTTTTCGCATGTATAGTTTCCCTTTTGTTTCAATTTATAAACCATTTTTTATTGTAATTGTTTGTGTTAATTATTAAAATTAATATTCATGAGGTAATAATACGGATAGAAAAATACGCCCTCAGTTGGCCAGTGTTATCAGTGTAGATCGGTGATCAAGTTTTATTATGTAATGCATTAATTAGGTAAGATCAATGACAACGCAAATCACAAACTGCTACTTAGAGTTTATAAAAATGCATGTAAAACTAATTATTGATTGTCACCTTTTTTTTTTCAAAAATGCTGAGTGTATGGAGGTTTATTGTTTTATTTAAACCCAATGTTTTTTAAGGAAATACTACCAGCATATTGTACATGCGATCTCTAGTGTTCCTGTCTCTTATACACATCTAGATGTGTATAAGAGACAGAGTTAAAAGTATATTGGTTCAAAATTTAAAAGAAGTATAACAACCTATATCCTGTTTTAGGTAGAACGCCCGAATGACGTCACAAAATGCTCATGTGATTGGTGTCATTGAGTCCCAGTATTATGTGTTTAAATATTAGTAGTAGGTCTATGCATTATACTTTCTTATCTGAGATTAATCAGTGGACCTTTCGGTAAAATAATGCATTCTATAGATTCATGGCTGACAGTAGCTTACGGAACACGGCGCGGCCGAAAAAGAGCGAGCAAACGAAGCGTGAAGACCACGCCAAAGAACTGGGTTTCACCCTCGATTGCACGCCGCGAGATGACGTACCATGTGTTTCGCCAGCCCCCCCCCCCCCCTCCTAGTGTAGTGCAAAAAATAATTAAAATTGAATATTTTATTTGTCTTGGCTAGTGTTAAACTGACACATAGGTTATTGGTTTTGACCATTAACATACCGAGTGTTCATTTTTTTGGTGACGTCTTCTTTTTCTTTTTTCTTATTCGTGATTTCTGTACAGTGTAGGGCTTTTTAAAATCACTTTCTTCCTATCCTGTTTCCTTATTTCCAGTTTCCCTTTTGGTTCAATTTATAAACCATTTTTTATTGTAATTGTTTGTGTTAATTATTAAAATTAATATTCATGAGGTAATAATACGGATAGAAAAATACGCCCTCAGTTGGCCAGTGTTATCAGTGTAGATCAGTGATCAAGTTTTATTATGTAATGCATTACAATTGCAAATCACAAATAAACAATTCTGAACCCATGTTTATAGCATGGAGAAAATAAAATTTATTTTCTCCATGTTTATAGCAATTAACAGTCAACTAACAATGTTATGTGCACTTCGTTGAGTTTTGCTTACTTGAATGGACTGAAATATACTTTGTTACTTAATTCTTCCTCTATGGCAAAAATATTTAATTTTCTTAGTAAAAATAAAATACCCAAGGATTTGAACGGAATACCCAATAACCCAAGACCAAGTCAAAATACCCAAGATCTTGATGGGTAAATACCCTAGCAGTGATCACGCTGCTCGTAAGTGTTTCTCTTGTTCTTTTCTGACTCTCCCTACTTGTTGAGCGCGAACGAATTGTGACGTCACGAAAGCTTCTTAAAACGGATGTGATCGATGGCTGTTTGTCCAGATTTTGTTTTTAAGTTCTGGTTCATGATGTGTTTTTGGTTGAACATCTTCCTCTTGTTGCGTATTTCTATTGACAAATAGGGCCGTACACTCGGTAGCAATATGACTTGGTTTTCCGCATTTTCTACAGCTGACAGCGTTAGTGCAGTGGGTTTCAAAGTTTGCACACTGTGCCTCCTTAAAAGTTCGCTCTAGTCTTCAAGTCTTCAAATCTCGTTCCTTTTGCTTTGGAGAACATAATGAACTTCAGTGCAACCAATTAATACAACGTTAAAGGTTACAGTATGTAAGGGTTTTAAAGAAACAACATTAAAATACCACAAAACTCGTTTCCATTGTAAATGATTAGAACTAAATCATAATATTATTATTATTCGTGTCAGTTCAACGATCTATCTAAATAGCATGTTCCTTCCGCTGGCAGGTTATTGCTCCATTGTTCTCTTACCTTATATCGGGATATAAATAATACCACAGTAGAACGCTAGTGTAACCTTGGCTCAATCTAAAAATCCGCCACGGGAAGGTCTTTTCCAAGTCGCACTTTGCCTCTTTAGTACAAGAATGTTAGCGTAAAATTTAGTGAAAAAATTGCAATAGAATTTATTTTACCATAGTTCATTTCTATAAGGTCTCTATTTGAACATATTAAAAGTCTAGAAAATTCCAGGTAGGGGAAATATGTGGAAATGTGTTTTATTCAAATGGCTGACAAAATAGATAAAAATATGAGAAAAAATCGTAATGTCATCATAATATGTCATATTTATGAATGAACTTGTAATTTTTTAGATCACCACTAAGCCATTTTGAATTTCTAGATAACCACCATGTAAAGCCTATATTAATGTTAAGAATGTTTATGTTTTATGTGTACTGTACATAGTAAACAGTACCATTGTATAATTTCTGACATGGTCAGGAGATTATAGTCATAAATAGGTCATTTCAGGTCATTGAATTATGTATAAGGTAAAAATATTGCATTCTTTAATTGGCTTTGTTGCTTGGTGAATTATACCGACCACCGTAAGCACACTATTATTATATAGGAAAATATTTAAAAAAAAAAAATCTTATATACTAGCTGAAAAAGCAATTATAACAGTTCCTCATCTACAGTATATATA